GGAAGGAGGAAGGAGGAAGGAGGAGGAGGAGGAGGCAGGGGGGACGCCCAGGCGGGGGCCGGTGCGCGGGGCGCAGCTCGGACCCTGAGAGCCTGGCGCTGCACTTTTTTGTCAGACAGGGCGTGTGTTCGCTCGATTTCGGGCCCCAGGGGCCCTCGCAGGTCGATCTATGGCTTGTTGTTGCTGTTGTTGTTGTTGTCGTTGTCGTTGTCGTTGTCGTTGTCGTTGTTGTTGTTGTTGTCGTCGTCGTCGTTGCTGTTGCTGTTGCTGTTGCTGTTGTTGTTGTTGATGTTGATGTTGATGTTGTTGTTGTTGTTGCTGTTGCTGTTGCTGTTGCTGTTGTTGTTGTTGTTGTTGTTGTTGTTGTTGTTGTTGTTGTTGTTGTTGTTGAACTCTCATTCTTGAAGAATAATTATTGTTGATCCCCCCCACCGGTGCACATTGATTTTTTTCGATTGAAGTGCCACCCCCGGGGCTCGCACCTTGTTTTTTCTCAAGGAAAATCTTCCTGCTCAAACTGTGCCCCTGCCCCCCGGGCTACAACAACAACGGCTCCCGCCTGAGACTTCCTCGATTTTTACTCAGGACCCCCGCTCCCGCCTGAGACTTCCGCGCAATTTACTCAGGAAAGGCGCTCCCGTCTGAGACTTCCTCGCAATGTAATCAAGACCCCCGCTTCCCGCTTGAGACTTCCGTGCAATTTACGTGGGAACGGCGCTCCCGCCTGAGACTTCTTCGAATTTTACTCAGGACCCCCGCTCCTGCTTGACATTTCCGCGCAATTGACTCAGGAACGGCGCTCCCGCCTGAGACTTCCTCGCAATTTAGTGAGGACCCCCGCTCCCGCCTGAGACTTCCGTGCAATTTGCTCAGGAACGGCGCTCCCGCTTGAGACTTCCTCGCAACTTAGTCAGGGCCCCCGCTTCCGCCTGAGATTTCCTCACAATGTACTCAGGACTGCGCTCTCGCGTGCGACGTCCTCACAAATTATTCTGGAATTGCGTTTCGGCGCTCAGGAACCACGCGCGCGCCAAGGACGCCTTCACAACGTGGTATCTTCCCTCTTCCTTCGTCCTTCCCCCTCCCCTTCCTCCCACTCTCCCTCGTTCTTCCCCTCCTCCTCTTGCAGGGCCCGCGCCAATTCCAATGGCGGGCAGAGAGATGTACGCCCCCGAAGGATTGTCCGCCCGTTCCGGTTTGCCCGTACGTCTAAGCCCGCCGGCCCCAGCAAAGAGAAATAGTCCCCCCGAAAGGGGTGTGATCGAAGACGAAGAGGGCGGGTATCGAGGGTGCAGGGTATACGTGTTGAATGACTCGCGGGCAAGTAAGAGCGTACAGCCTTAAAATGGTTGTTGTTGTTGATGTTGTTGTTGTTGTTGTTGTTTGTTGTTGTTGTTGTTGTTGTTGTTGTTGTTGTTGTTGTTGTTGTTGTTGTTGTTGTTGTTGTTGTTTGTTGTCGTCGTCCCCCCCGCGACCCGGCCTGCGACCCACCCGCGACCCACCCGCGACCCACCCCGTGACCCACCCGCGACCCACCCCGCGACCCACCCAGCGACCCACCCGCGACCCACCCGCGACCCACCCGCGACCCACCCGCGACCCACCCGCGACCCACCCGCGACCCATCTGCGACCCAACCCGCGAAGAACCTAAATCTTTAAAATGAAAAAATCGGCGCCTGCGGCGGGCTCGTTGCACAGCTTGAAAATTTTGCGACTGCGGCGGGCTTCCTCAGAGCCTCGCAGACTGCAAACGTCCCCGCCAGCCCCTCACTCTTTTCAGCAACTGCGGGGTGCAACGTATTCGGAGAAGGGCGAGTTCATAGGTCGGGCGTATCCCCCAACAGGCGGATTTGGGGAGAAAATGGGGGGGGGGGGGGAAAACAAAAACCCTAAACCCCAAATAGTCTAACAATCATTCAAAAACCGTCACCAGAGGGACGCGCCCGACTGATCCGTCTGTGAGGGCCCCGGGGCCCGAAAATCGAGCGACAACGCCCGGCTCGAGAAAACACATCGCAAAACGCCACGAGCTCAGAGGGTCCGAGCTGCGCCCCCAGCACCGGACCCCGCCTGGGCGCCGCCCCCGCCTCCTCCTCCTCCTCCTCCTCCTCCTCCTCCTCCTTCTCCTCCTCCTCCTCCTCCTCCTCCTCCTCCTCTTCCTCCTCTTCCTCCTCCTCCTCCTCCTCCTCCTCCTCCTCCTCCTCCTCCTCCTCCTCCTCCTCCTCCTCCTCCTCCTATCCAGACCCCCGACGTCGTGATTTTTTCACGACGTCGACCCCCAGGGGTCAGGACCCCTTCCCCTGGGACCCGTTTTGCATCCTGCGTCATTTTTGGACCGTCCCGAGGGCCCCCGGAGGCCGAAAATAGCGAAAAAGCTCCCGTCGCGATTTTTTCACGACGCGAGGGCGTCTGGGCCCTCCTCCCTCCTCCCCTGGCACCGGCCCCAGTCGAAGACCCAGAAGGGGTGCTCTGGGCCCGCGGCGCCAGCGCAGCGCGCCCTGCGGCGCCCGCCCGCCGCGCCGGGCAGGCCCGCGGGCGGCGGGCGCGGCGCGAGGGCGGCGCCCGCCGGGGCGCAGAGGCTCGGCGGCGCGCAAGGAGCGGCCCCTATGGGCACCCGGAGACCCCCGCGAGAGGTGCGGCAGAAGCACGGCGAGCAGTTTTTCGTTCTTTTCGGCCGCTGCAAGGGGCCCTTCCTGGGCCTCGGGACCGTCAAAGAACGGCTCGGGATGAAAAACCGGTCCCGTGGAAGGGGTCCAGACCCCAGGGGGCGACGTTGCAAAAAAATCATGACGTCGGGGGTCTGGGCAGTGAGTGGCCTTTGGTGCGCGGCGCGCACAAGTCTCAGGCGATCGCAAGCACGGATCAAAAGGGGGCGTGGATTATGGCCCTGGGCAGCCAGTGGCCTTCCCTGAGATCCTGGCGACTCAATTTTTTCGAGCTGGGCGTTTCCGCAAATTTGCAGACCCCGGGGCCCTCACAGATCGATGCGGCTCGAACATTGGCGCGGAAAGAGAAGGTCTATAGGGCTCCAGGCTCGATGTTTCGCGGCGTCTCGATTTTGTTGAGACGTCGGGTGGTCCCACGGTTTGGTGCGCGGCGCGCACAAGTCTCGGGCGATCGCACGCATGGATCAATAGGGGGCGTGTATCATAGCGACGGGTCCCGTTTCCAAGGGGAAGTGTCGCGGAGTTCCTCCAGCCGAGCGCGGCGGCACCTGCCGCACTCTGGGGAGGGCACTTCCCCCGATCCGTGGATTTGGCGACCGCGCGCCAAATACATGAATCGCTAATCCATGTGTGCGCGCCCCCGAGATCCGATGGCAACTCATGGGAGACTCCCACACCATCTTATCGGCTCTTGCGAATCGACGCTAGTCGACGCTAAATCGACGCTAATCGACGCTAGCCGACGCTGAATCGGCGTTATCTCGTCGACTCCCAGACGCTACTCGACGCTAGTTGACGCTGGAGACATAGTTACGAGGGTACACAAGGCTCCCATGATTTGCTACCGAACTCTGGTGCGCGGCGCGCGCAAGGGGGCAGGGGGAGGGGGGAAAGGCCTCTTAGGAGGCCCGCGCCTTCCGCTTGAAGCAGCCTCCTTTTATGGACTACGCGCAAGAGTGACCCTGGGTAAGAGTGACCTTTGGTGCGCGGATTTTTTGGGGCCGCGGGGGGCACCAAACACGAGCGCGCAAGACACTACTATCGCATCGCACTCGGCGATCGGAAGACACCATTGGGCCCGCACCAAAGGTCATTCCGGCGAAAGGTCGCTCCTACGTCTGGTCGATTCTAAGAAGCCTCCCCCCCTCCCCCTAGACCACCCCTCGATCTGCGCGTGGCTGGCTTGGGTGTGCGGCTTTCGGGGGCCGCGGGGGAAGCCACATCCAAGCAGCCCAAGGCGCGCAAGCCACTGCTTCGCGGACATCACACGGGCGACTTCAACATACAGGCCTCGGATAAAATAGCGAACGCTCATGCCACATTCATCTGTCATCGCCTCCCCATCCCCCCAGTGTTCAAAGTTGGCGGTGGGTCTGATGAGTTGCACCTCGACCGTAATTCGTCTCCCCCGCTCGTGGCAACTTTGAGTTTGGGGGCACGGGGGGCGTTCACTAATTGTTTCCCTCCGCCGTAGGACCCCGGGGCCATCCGAAGGAAAGCGTTCCTGGACCTGGAGGGTCTCTGGGGTTCCGGTGGCAATACGCGCGCGGAAGAAGGAACCTCGTCCATGCGCCGCCGAAGGTCTTGGGCTTCACGGGTCGCCGCGAAGGTGGGCCCCCCGCGGAAGAAAGACAAGAAACGAGTAGACGGGGTCGGAAGATCGCGCCGCATCGGCGTTGCATCGGCGACGTCGGCGAGGCATCGGCGCCATCGGCGTGGAGCCAATCGAACTCCACATCGAGCCGCATCGCCGACTCGTCGGCGATGCGACGCGGTCCTCCGACCCCCTCTACCCCAGCTCCATCTACGAGGCCTAGAGAGTCGCGGGGTTGCTCGGCGGACCACTGTGGGCCCGCGCCACAGGTCCCTTTATCGGGCATGTCTTCCTGCAGGCGGATTTTGGGCGAAAAACTAAAAATACTGAAGAAAATGCCCCTCCCCAGTAAAAACCAAGAAATGCTCAAAAGATCGCCCCCACTATGTTTTACTACTTTTGAATTTTCCTCCTGTAGAAGAACACGCCCGACTCAAATCTAGAAGGCCTAACAATGCGTTCCCGATAATAATCCCCTGGAGATAATGAAGTTCGGAGGTCTGGCGGGGATAAACAACGATTTTCCTGGCGAAGTTGATGTTATGATGACGGTGATGATGATCATGATGACGATGATGATGACGACAATGACGATGATTATGCTGCTGATGATGATGATGATGATGATGATGTTGGGCGCTCGTGTAAACTGACCTGTTAGAACTTGGCACAAGGCTGACTCGAGAGATCTCGAGGCTCGTGGCTACAACTTGCCTGAGCAAGAAAAGGTCCTTGGCGCTCCTGGCCAAGAAACCTTTCTTGCGCACGACCTCAAACCACTCGCCCATGCAGGCTCGGCACCCTTTGGAGCCGTCCTTGCACGGGAGGCACTTGGTGCAGGCCTGGGCGGCGGCGCTTGCCTCCTCGAAGGTGGCGTGCTTCGGTTGCGATTGCGGAAGCTGAAATGGTGAGACCACCATTGCCATGCTCAGCGTTTCTGATGCTGTTGCTAGTCAACATGAGACGATAGCAGCTTCGATTCGCAATTCCCCCCGGGGATTATCAAGTTCGGCCTCCGCGCCCTCTCCACAATTAAATCCTATTCACAAGGGGTTAACATGTGGCAGTGAAGGGGGGGCTGATTCATTATCGGGGGTACTCGGTCAGAGAGTCGCGGGGTTGCTCGGCGGATCACTCGGGACCCGCGCCACTGGTCCCTCCGGCCATGGGCCAAGGGTCGCTCCTGCGCGCAGCCGAGAAGCGTGGGCAGGGCGCCCGCCGCGCCGGCGCGGGCGCGGAGAAGGCCGCTGCTCCTGCCCGCAGGGGGCCCCCGAGACCCAACGAGCATCGACGGCGTCAGGACGAAAGTGTCTCGCAACCTTCGGCCTCTCCCAGAGATCCATCGCATTGAAAGGCCTCTAGGGGCCCCAAGGGCACTTTTCGCAGTTTTCGGCCTCTAGGGGGCCTCGCCGGGCCCCGGGACCGTCAAAAAACAACACAGGATGAAAAACCTGTCCTAGGGAAAGGGTCGAGACTTCCGGGAACCCCGCATTGACAAAAACTCACGACATCGGATCTCTGGGCTAGAATTGGCGGCGCGCAGAGAGGGGTAGGGGGAGGGGGGAAGGCCTCTCAGAAGGAGGGTGCTACTTAGAGGGCGCGGGCTTCAATATCTGCAGAGAAGAGGCCCGCGCCTTCTGAGAAGCAGGGGGGGTGCTTCTGAGAAGCCTTCCCCCCTCTACGCATGGCTGATAAAGGCCCTCGCCGGGCCCCGGGGCAGTCAAGAAATGGCTCAGGATGAAAAACCGGTCCCGGGGAAGGGGTCCAAATATCCGGGGGCGTGGGATCTCTGGGCGCATCCGTGCACCACAGCCGTGTCAGTCCAGGGCCATCTTGGGTCCCACAAGTCCGGCCACGCTCCACGGGACAGAACCGAAGTCGCGCCGCGGGGAGCTCGCCCCCGTCCTCCAAAGCGGAAGCCGGCGCACTGCGAGGTGCACGGGCGGAGCCCAGCGAACCCGTCAACTTTGAAGGGGCCGCTCAAGAGAGCCTCCCAGACATAAGATGCCCTCGGGGCCCCCAAAAAACACGACCCTTTCCCCGGGACCGGTTGTTCATCCTGAGTCGTCTGGTCAGATGACGCGTCGTCAGGTGCCACCCGGCGTCGTCGAGTTAACTGCGGCTGGCTTCGTACGAGCCTCGTCAAAAATAAGATGAAACGCTGTTCAAAATCGAATCGTTCGATAGTTCGGGCACTCGTCAGAAAACGCGTCCTTCAATGCTGTGAGGGTGCTGCCCGATTTCGGACACCCCTGCGTCTGGGCCGAAAACCTCATGCCAACATTGAAATAGCGCTGACCACGCAAGCACCGAAAACAAAAACCGTCAATTTTTTTGTTTGACGAGTCGTGTAGTCCGAGTGCTTCCCCCCGCCCCGTCACCGAGCACCGTGGCACGGGCATCCCCGTCCCGATGATCAACAAAGACGCCCTAATCAAACGAGAGGGGGTCCTGATCGAGGAGAGGAAGTCTGCATCAACAACTGGCGTCACGCGAGACGCGAGCCCCCAGAGCCAGAGAGCGGGGTCTGACTCTGATTAGCCCGCCTGGGCTTGCGTCACCAAATATTACGTTAAGGCAAAGGTGCTATGCGCTTCCCTGTGATCCGACGTCTCAGAAAATTGAGACGCCGTGAAAAATCGAGCCTGGAGCCCTAGACCTAATCTTTCTGCGTCATTTTCGAGCCGGATCGATCTGTGAGGGTCCCGGGGCCCGAAATTATGCGAAAACGCCCGGCTCGAAAAGATTGAGTCGCCAGGATCTCAGGGTTCGGCATCGTTCGTCAATGTATGCTTGACGAGTCCTGTTGGGATGGTGCGCAGGCCCCCACCCCAGGAGGGGCCCCCGCGCGGTGTGCGCGGATCGAGAAACACGAGCCCCTGCGCCAAGAGCCCGGACCACGTGGAGCTACCCTGAGGTCGGGCATGTCCCCCTAAGGGTGGATTTCGGAAGAAAAAGTAGACATGTAAACTACAACAACAGCAGCAACAACAACAGCAACAACAACAACGACGAAGACGACGACGACGACAACAACAACACCATGACCAACAACAACAACAGCAACAGCAACAACAACAACAACAATCACAACAAACACGACAGCAACAACAGCAATAATACCACTATTAGTAATAACAGCATTACTAATAACAACAGTAATATTCACACTAAAAATACGAATCAGCAGTATTAATTCTAGTACTACGAATAATGATACGAATCATAATATTATTAA